ATTAGAATTACCAAGTCATTTTAACCATTTGGAGCAGTTTAAAGTTAGTTTTCCAGTTGCCTGCACATTCATTTTCTCTCTTTTTATACTAGTTCAGTGTGTTGTCATGCTTGTTGTCTTTGATTCTCATAAACTGATACTTTGGTGGTGACAATGGGATGTTGTCTCATTACAGGCTTCCTCTCCAGATGAGTTCGCTTAGTGCCAATTTACTATTCAGTACTGGATGCTATAGTAGGTCAACTGTACTCTTTGCCAATTCTTCTTTTTCTTTTTTTTCTACATAGTGGGCGCTTCTACATGAGAAGTTTACTGTTCATTTGACTAATCAAGTGCACGGTAAACTTCTTGGCGTCTACACACGCGCTCCTATGAGAGTACACGAAACTAATAAACTCTCCAGAAGGATAGTGTTGTAAAATGCAAGTGCTAACCTGCTGTGGAAGTTTTTTTTTGTGGTCAGCAGTGCATGTGTAGACATTTTCCCAGCTAGCCGGGGCACAGGGTACTTCAATGCGGGGCTAGTTGGCAGGCAGCTCCCCCCTCCCCCCCACTAAAGCACCTTTGTGCCTCAGCCAGTTGCTCTGAAGCATGTGGAATTGGGCAGAGTAGCCAGCGCAGAGCTGTTCCAACGGGGTCCATGTGCATCGAGGGGGGGTGGGGGTGCTGGCTGAGGCACAAAGGTGCTTCAGTACTGGGCTAGCCAGCAGGCAGCCCCTGCACTGAAGTATCCTCTTGCCCCAGCCAACCCCACTGCTGCAGATGGAGCCCTGTCTGAGCAGTCCTGGCAGGCAGGACAGGGCTCCATGTACAGCGTGGGGGCTAGTTGGGGCATGAGGGTGCTTCAGTGTGGGGGCTGCCTGCCAGCTAGCCCTGCACTGACACACCCTTACGCCTCAGCCAGGGCCCCTGCAGCACATGGAGCCCTGGGCTGGCAAACTGACCCCCTTGGTTCCCTGCCAGTCTGGGCTGCTTCGACCAGGCTCCATGTTCTGCACATGAAGAAACTCCAGAGAAACGTGCTCCAGAGTTTTTTGCTTCTAGGCCCATGTTCAAGCACTGTGCCCAGGAGCAAAAAAACTATGGAGCAATAAGCTCTGAAGTTTATTTGTGTGCATTAATGGCATGTGTAGATGCTCCCATGATGCCCCCGTCTAGAGATATATTTTGCTCCTGCCTTAGTAACTGATGTTCCATTACACTGGGGAACTATGCAGGGGATATATACACCTCTTGCATGGCATAGAGGTCCACAGAGACCCAAGATTAGTTTGACAAAGCACCATGGAAGGCAGTTGTCTATGCTGGGGAAGGCAAAGGACCAGGGCATCATCCAAGGTTGTAGTTTCTTAGCTACTCTGTTTCCTGGGAGGATTTTTGCCTCCATTCTGTACCTTCCTGTCTGGTTGGATTAGGTGCTGTGCAAAGATTTTGCTTCTATAAATTATGGCTTAGACCAGTTCAAATAAATATAAACTGGCAATATTATCACCTCCCCCTATCTTCTGGGTTGAGAGGAAAAGTGCTTTAAAGACTGAAATGGATTCAGGTACAATGGTGACTGTGGCTGTATAAGTGCCTTTGATAAATACCTACTTCTAACCTTGCTCCCTTAAATTAGCAGAATTGTACTCAAATATCAGAGGGCAAGTTTTGTTTTTTGCCTGCTCCTGAGTGCAGCCTGATGCCAAGCCTGAGAAGAGCAAAGAAAAAAAAAGGAAGTTTTGCAGAGACTTGTCCATCTGATGTGTGAGACACAAATCCTATATGCTGTAGCACTTCATGTTCAATAATTTTGAAAGGGCTACTTTGAACTATTTCAGTTTGTGTTTTGTTAAACGTTAAGCAACAGGGTATGAAGTTACAGCTTAACATCAGGACTCTCAGGGTGTTCCCTGAGACACTAAATTGAATTAACCTTTTGGCTATTTAACCCACTGTGACTTGGAGAGTCTGCAAGATGTTTTTCAAAAACAAATAATCTAATTAAAACTTATAAACAGAGAAGCACTTGGAGCAGCTATTAGTACGGAGCTATTGTAGTTTTAGTACTACAATTTGATAACTGATGATTCTTTTATTATATTTTGTTTGCAAGCATATTTATGAAATTTGAACCAAGTTTTCTGCTGGCATAAATCTGCTGAAGTCAGTAGGGCTTCACCAGCAGGCAGCAGGGAATTCATCCTGTTAGCAAAATTAACTTGATATAACTTCAGTGACACCTGTGGCATTTTCCTAAGGTGGATACGGTACTGTTTTTCTAAGGCTAGAAAAGTAACCAGTGCAATGATTTATTATTTAAAAGGACACAGGAGTAAAGACGGCCATTCAGTTTATTCTGACTGATTTATTATATAATGTTGGGCCAGTGTAATTGAAAGCAGAATTTAGATACATAATTCTAAGAACTTGTCAATTCCTCTTTTTCCCTCATAATCACACCATTTATAGTTTGTTAACAGCGTATTAAACAATACAGAAAAGCAAACTTGGTGCATCTCATAGAGGATGCTTTTTAACTCATATTTGTATTGAAAATGTGTTGAACACAGTGAACATATCCTATTTACAATTGCATAGCTAGATCCCCAGCTAATGGAAACAGGACTGAAGAATCTGATATAAAGTCTTTAAAATGGAATTGTAATATATAACCTGACTTGCCCCTAAGGGAGTGAAGAGGGCATTGGTAACTGTGCTACAAATCCTTCCCTTTGTCCAGTCCATAGGGAATATAAGTCCTTAAAGCCCCCAACTACAGAGGCATGGATCTTTAATTTAAGCTGCATTAATTCATGCTTTTAACTCATGAAATCCTACACTCAGTGGGTGCCTATACACATGCTCCAATGCGTTCTAATTAGAATGTGTTGGGAGTGTTCTAAGTAGAACACACCTGCATGCTGCAGTGACACATGTATTCAGCATCCCACATTTCAGAATGGTGGCAGGGGCTCTTTAACTAAAACTCATCGAATGAGCTTTAGTTAAATCACCTCCACAGCCTTTCTGAAATGTGGGACACTGAATACATATGATGTTGCAGCATTTTAATTAGAGTTGCTATATGGGAGCCTCTCTAATTAAAATGCCTTCCCCACTACCCTGGAGCATGTGTATAGGCAACCAGTGACCCTGTGGGCTTATTTATATCACAGTGGCATGAGGCCTTAAAGACCAAAGAGCTGAGCTTCCACCAGAGACTCTGCCCACCCAACTCTGCTGTTTCACTCCAAACCTGGGAATTCATCAAGTTGCTCATCCCTAGTGCCCACCCTTGAGACCTTAGCCTCTGATGGGCCTGACAGGTGCTGGGACTAGTCCATAACAGCTTCTCTGGATAACTTTCAGATCTGAAGCTCGTCAGCACACTTAGGTGGGTAGGCCGTAAGAAAAGCATGCTCAGCCAGTCCTATCCATGACCTGCCACTGTAGTGTGGACAAGCCCTCTGTTAGCCAAGAAGTAGTTGTAACAAGTACACAATATGAGGACAAAGGAACCTTCTTTCTTGTAGACTTAAGCTACAACTGCCTGATCCTGATAGGGTAGAGAACAGGTGGGGTTGGGGGGATATAGGGCTGTGACCTTACCCCTTTTCTCTATCAGTCAGCAATACTGCACTTCATGAAAGGGTGCAGCAATATGGCTAGTCCTCTCCACACAACACATCCTACTAAAGAGGAGAGCAAAGCTAAGGTCTACTGAGTGTGGAATACCTGAGCACTCACAGCTCCATTTAAAGTCACTGTGAGCTATAGCTTTGAGAATCAGGCCCTACTATTTTAAAGAAAATAATGATTAACCTTTGAGATGTACAAGTACGTAGGTGTAAAAAAATGTAATAACTGATTATAAATAAATGCAAGAATTTAATCTGACCTCACAAACTTATGGTTGTGTGCGTGATTCTAGAAATCCCCTACGTACATGAGTAATCTCACTGACTCAGATCAAGTCTCTTCATCCGAGTCTACCATTGTTTAAGCCTACTTCTTTCCAGGAGGTAAAGTTCTAGTTCAAAAATATTAAATGTAGGTGCTGTAGCGATGAGCTATGACGATGTATGTTGTCGCTACGGCGATGTAGCGTCAGCGGGCATGAATCATGATGCTGATGATACTGCCCATTGCTCAGTAGCTCATTGCTACTGCGCATTAGGGTCAGAAACGACCCATGCACTGCCGGGACTGTGCAATAACAGCGGTTACTGTGCAGTATCAACTACTTAGTTGAGGGCACATGTAGACGCACCCTGTATGAAAGATTTTGATTCTTTTTTATTTTTGATGACTAAATGTTTGGCATAATAAGTTCTACAGCTCTGGCTTTTAGGAGGTTTTAAAAGATGCTTTTAAAGAAAATTGTGTGGGTGTTTGTTTTTTAATTTTGTTTCATGGCTAACCCCTAGAAAAGATCTTTATTTATTTCAGTGCTTCACAAACTGTCCAAAACTATTGCACCAGGAAGATGCTGGAAGAAGTGAATAAAAGATTATGCAAAGTGAAATCCAGTAACCCTTTTAGTACAATGAACTGTAGTATAACTTTTACTAAGCTAAGAAGATTATTTCATCATAGTCATATTTTAAAAAGTTATCTGCATTTAAAAGTCATGTTAGACAGGTCCTCTGTTATATAAGTGTTATGCCTTTTCAAGTGTAGTATTGCAATAAATGTCAGTCAGAACTATTTCCTGAAATATGAACGCTGGGTTTATTTAATTTAGGTTCTTAAGTATTTTTCTCTTCAGAATAATAAATATGTAAGATATAGGATCTCTTCTATGTAAATGCCACATTTTGTGAACATACAGAGGTATATTTAGATACTGTTAAATTCTTAGTCATGATTTTAAATGTAAAGCATGGATTTATTTCTGTCAGTACAGTAGTGAGCTTTCATATATGTAAAAGAAAAATAATTTTCACTGAAGACTTTGATTCACTTGGAAAGGTGTAAGATGCTATATTTTTAACAGTGGCTTTCTGCTTTGGAAGCTCCTCCTAGAGAACTGACAGAGGAAGAAAAACAACAGGTTCTCCATTCAGAAGAATTCCTGATATTTTTTGACCGGACAATACGTGTAATTGAACGAGCTTTGGCTGAAGATTCAGATATATTCTTTGACTATAGTGGCCGAGATGTGGAAGAGAAGGATGGGTCAGTTCTTTTTTCCTTTTCTAAAGTATAAATCCATTGTATATGGGATCAAACTTGTGAAAGTTTTATTTTAAATCTAAAACCAATATGGTAGAACAGTGGCTTCCAGTCTTTTGGTACTGTGGGCCTGAGAGCTGGATCCCATGTAGGGTCAGTCCATGCATGTGGCCCACCCCCATATGCCTGGATACAGCCACATGCTGGACTGACCCAACTCTGCGCACCAAGATCTTGCCATGTGGGATCTGGCTATTCACTAGAATGATTTAGCATATGCAGGGCCACATTTTCTGGCCCACACGACTCCCCATGGGTCCAGATATTAGGCAGTAGGTTAGTGGCAATTAATGCTGGCACCATTATCTTTCCATAAAGTTCCCAAAACCTTGGGGAGCTGGTTCCATGGATCAAACTGGGCCCACAGCCCAGAGGTTGAGTACCACTCCTGTATAGAATCAGAGGGTAAAACATCAGAAGTTGATATATTTGAAATCTCTGATCATATTACTGCACTGAGTTATTTTGTAAAATACCATCTTGCTTCATTTCTCTGATTTCTTTTAAAGCTATTTTAGAGCTGGCCTACATTTCAAGATTTTGATGACATTTCAAATAGTAATAAAACTGTGAAAAATATGAAAAAAATCCTAATATTTTTGGCCAGCTTCAATTGGTGTCACTTTCTATTTATTTTGGACTTAAGACCAGATACCTAAAGGTTGTTTAACACCTAACAGTGTAAACAAACACCTTATGGGATGTTTAGAAACACTTCAATGGCCTATTCCAATTAGATGCCTGGGTACTTCTAAAAATGCAATGAGAAGTCAATCTATATTTTTAGTGCTTTAATACTGTATTTTTACCACATGTAAGTACATTTAAGGTGCTAAGTGATGCAGTTACTGACTAGATCTTAAAGAGGTATAACATTAATTGCAGTTCTTTTTTATGATATGATGCATCTTTCAGCTAATATAAAGAACCAAGGTCTTGACCACCTGTGATCATTAACAGGCCATTGCAGATCTCTCAAAAGTAGGGGTTTAGTCCTGGTATCCTAGCTAGTTTCCACCATGTAACTGTAGCTGTATCCTGCCTAACTAAATCCCTCTGCAGTCCTATCATTTCAATTGTATATAGAAGTCTTCATTTACAATCCTTAGACCTTCAGTGCACCACTGAACAGCTGCTGAAATTCACTCCAGAAGTTCCTGCACTTTTTGGAGTGGTTAAAATGATTCTTTTAGGTAGAGTTTAGACAATAAATTTGCAAGTTTAAAATGAGCCCACTTAGCTGAAAAGTGCTATGTGAGCACAAGATCACAATCAATACATATCCTAAATGTAAAGCAAAGTTTCTGTGTCTAAACTTTTAATAAAAGTGAAAACCAAATTTTAATGGGGTTAGAATGGGATGACATCCACATCTCAACTACTAGCCCTCAGGCAGACTGCAGGATTTCAGCTGCAGTTCCAGTCTACAAGATAGAATGATGAATAGTATCTAACCCTCTGTAGAGTTTCTCAGCCACTGAATTTATATGACCTTTTGTTCAGCCCCACTCCCAACAACTCCTTTTTGTGCTAATCTGTTTGAAGCTTGTGCAGAGCCTATCTTTGTACATGAGATTTGGAGGTCACTTGCTTAGCTGACGTATTGGTGTAATTTTCAGAAGGCTACTGAAGGATTTATTTGACATACAAACAGTAGGTGAATCCATAATGCAAGCAAGAAGGCCGAACTTAATAAGGAGATGCATATGTAAGACTTAGTTATTTGGACCCCAGTGGTGATACTTACATGGATTTGGAGCTACAGTATATTATGGCTTCATAAGAACCGTGCCCAGTCAGTAGTCACTGTGGAATATATGATCTATTTTTTATATTATGGGGTTAAATCAGGCCTCTGGTCATGGACAAGGGTCCTATTGGTCTATATAACTACAGGACAAGAATTACAATCTAAATATTAAAGCAAAAGCCAAGAGGAGGATGCAGGCAGATAGATGAAGGCAGCAATGAGGCAGTGCTGGGCATCATGGGAGGGAGTGTTTAACAGCTGCTTGTCTACTGGCAAGGTGTTTTTAAAACATCTTAGTAAAGGAGAATTTTAAGAAGGAATTTGAAGAAGGACATGGAGGTGTTAATTAGGAATTCCTGCCACATGTGAGAGTGCAGCATGAAGAAAAGGGGCATATGTTTAAAAATCTAACAAGCTGGCTAAACTGAGGGCTGTTATTGGTGGCTAATTGGAGGTGTGAGTGCACATGGAATTAACATGTAAGAGGCCATGGGTAGAAGAAGTGTATGTGTGAACATCCTTGAAAATAAAGACCACCCATTGTTTGGTGTGATAGAGAAAGAATAAAAAGGGAAGGCTGGTATGGTCAAAGCAAAGAGTGAGGAAGATACATCTTGATTCAGTGCTTGGAATGGAAATGAGTGAAGAGAGAGACTTCATTTGTCAAGTCCAGAGAGGAGGTTGCAGTAGTCAAGAGATAGAAATATAGGTATGTCAGGGAATTTTGGGGTAACTGAATTCAGACCAAAGACATCCAAGTTGTGTAATCCCTTCCATGATTTTATCAAGCTCCATATTAAAATAAGTTTATATTCCTTGCCCCAGTCTGCCTCTACTGGAACACCATTCCATACTCTTCTGGTTGTTAGAAACCTTCTTTTTCACATACAGACTAAATATATTCATGATCTATTTATATCAACTGGTTCTTGAGGTAACATTGTCTTTTAGCTTGTCTTGATAATGAGAGTTGATGAGAGTTGGGACAATTGTTTTAGCTCTGTGAATGTCGTACTTTACTGTTTTAAGCAGACAGAATTAGCAGGAAATAGACACAGTTAAATTCTCTAAAAGGGAGTGAGGAGTCAATGATAACCAGGTTGTTGCCTGGAGTGGCATGCAGGATGATGATGTTGCCTACTATGTCTGAGAATGGTCAATGGAGGAAGGCTTTGGGATGTAAGAAAAGAGAATTATAAATACTATTTTGTCCACATATGTCCAAAATGTCTTTCTTTTTAGCCCCATGACAAGATAGCCAATGAGCTGAAATAGCTAGGATTAAGTAGTATGACAAGGCTTGAAACAAGGGGTGTGAGGATGAGGTGTGTGTGGGGACGGGGCGGAATTTCTTACATTAGCTGTCATTACAAATGAGCCTGGGTACTTTAAAGCATGCCTTTGTTGTTTAAATCCACACAGAGATGTTCAAGCTGGAGCCAACCTTTCCTTTAATCGTCAGTTCTATGATGAGCATTGGTCCAAGCATCGTGTTGTCACCTGCATGGATTGGTCTCTTCAGGTAAGCTGTGAAGTTATGAGCTATATAGCCATCTCGGGTATTTCCCTTCTTTTTTATTTGATAAGGTTTTGTGTCTTTGATATTAACTGTTTTTTAATGACTGGATTCTGAATGAGAGTATAAATATGGGTAAGGAGGAATAAAGACTATATGAAACTGTATTAGTTTTATGTGTTTTATGTTAAAAGAAATCATGACTTAACATTCAAACTATGTATTAATAATCTTACCCAGATGTAAAACTCTCTGGTTTTAACCTCCCCTCCAAAATTTCCTTCATGTAATTTAACATTTTTTAATAAAAGACTTTGTGATATGTTGAAATTTTAAAATGTAGAGACTTCATAAAATAAACTGAATTTCAAGCAGGAGTTAAGTAGAAGAAATAATTTAATATTTTGATAGTTTTATTTCTCACAATGTAGTAAATAAATCCAAATGTGAATGTACCTGACTCTAGCTAAGATTTTCAATGGAGTGCTACAAAGGTTTTTATGACAAATGGCAAGTCTAGCTTGTCACTGGCTACCTAAGGTTTACAACACTGAGCTTCCTTCTTGCAGACCTATAGGACAGGAGACTAGGCACAAGGATGATAGGAAGTATCCATACTCCTGGGCACCTTAAAAAGACAATGTGTAAAACCATGGACCAAGTCTTGTTCTACCTTTGGGCATCTAAGTGCTACTTAGCTGTCTAAAGGCAGATACATAAATAACACTTAGTGCCACTTATATAAATTTTAGAATCCATTTCCAGGGAGATTGCCTTGGGTTCTGTCCCCTGTTCTGCCCCTAATGCTTTCTGGCCATTTTATCTAATGTCTATTTCAATGGTTCTCAACCTGTTTAGGTTTGAATCACCCCTTGTTATTCTTAAAGGACCCCTCAGGAAGCGCTAGCTCTTAGTTTTCACTCATTTTTTGACTACAGAAAAATACTGGAGCAGTTTTTCTGTTGCAAAGAATTCAGCAAGAACACAACAGGTCAGAATGTTTTTAACATCATGGATTCCTTTATGAAATTTCTGGATCCATCTTGTTTTGCACACCTAACAGTACTTACATTATGTAACACCCTGGGGCACGATTGAAAGGATCTCAAGGCACCCCAGATGCCATGGCAACCTGATTGAGAATCTCTGGTCAATTTAATGCAAGAAACTGCACTGGGGGCACCTTCTTGGCAGCCTGGCTGATGAGCTAGCTTCAATAGCAATATTGAGGGTGTTCTTTATCCCATGATATAGTGCTTAGGGCACTTTTCTAAAAGTGAGAAATGTATGTTCAAACCTCCTGTGGGTGAAAGAGGGCCAAGAACCCAGGTCTCCCATTCTTTGTATAAATATCTGAACGATTAGGATTGGGTTGAAACAGGAGTTTTCAACCGTTTTTGGCTGTGTACTCCTTTACCTGCAAAATATGGCTGCTTTTACCCCTTACACTCAATGTGTCTCTATTAACACCAACATGTGACAATGCCATTATTCACTGTGTGTTGACCAATCAGAAGCTCTACTGCCATTAATAAAATTTAGGCATGTACCCTTTGACAAAGTGTTGTGTGTACCCCCACGATACTTATTCCCAATTTGAAAACCACTGGACTAAAATATGGATGGGTTCTTCTCCAGTTGTTTTTTGCTGACTGAAGTTTCTGGGATTTATATGGAATGAGACACTTTCCCAGGTGAATAAGATTGCAGCAGAGCATAAGTGGATATAGTGGATCACTTTGAAACATTCTCAGATAGACAAATCTAGTCATGCAAGTAGGAATAGGATCTAATATCTGTATAAATGCCACTAAAATATCACTAGACATAGAGTGACCATATGTCCCAGATTGGCTGGGGGAGTCCTGGATTTTAAAGGCTGTCTCAGCATCCTGGGCATTGGAGAAAATTTAAACAAAAGTACTAGATTAGTGGGAACCTGGGAGCCGTGAGGTTCTGTGTGTGTGTGTGTGATGCTGTCCTGCCTGCCCCACTCTTGGGAGCTGTGCGGTGGAGAGACAGACAGACAGAGTGAGAGTGTGTGTGTGTGTGGGGTGGGGGCTGACGAGGGGGTGGGGGCAGTGGGCAAGTGACAAAACAGCTTTCAGGATGCTCTGGGGAGCATAGGCACCGACTTTTATTTTTGCTGCGGGGGGGCGGGGGGGAGAGGGGGTTGTTCTTTAATGATGGACATGTGAAAAGTTTTACACATTTCAGTTGCCAGCCCTCTTCCCAAAGGGGTCCAGGGCCCTCGGGCCCCCATGTATTCAGCACCTCTGCTAGGGAGCACAGTGCCTTTGTCACTGGAGTCAGGGCTGTGGACTAAGGCTATGGCTGGGGCCAGGGGCAAGGTGCCGATTGGACTTGGGGGTGCTGCACAGGCTCTGTCTGCCCCACATTGACTCATGGCTCTGGCCCCATCCCAGCACCTATAGCCACATCCTAGCCATGCAGCCCCAGGCTGGGCTGGCCTGGGGCAGGCCAGCTGCATTGCAGCTCCCACAGGAAAAGCCCAGCCTGGCCCTACTGCACCCTTCCCTAACTGGGGAAGGGGATGTGAGGCTGGGGCTGCATGGCCTTGATGCAGCTGCAGGTGCCAGGACAGGGCCAGACCTGGGAGTCAGACAGAGCTCGCAAAGTGTCCCCAGCCAGGCTGGTGGCCTGCCCCCACCCCCGGCACCAGCTTGTCGCCCCCGTGAAAAAGGCACCATGCTCCCCAGTGTGTCCTGGCTCCAGCCTGCAGCCCTGGCTTTGGTGACAAAGGCACTACACTCCTAACACCTGCTCCAGCCCGGTCTGCTGCCACACAGTGCCCTGGCACATGTGTATGTGCGCGCGTGTGTGTATGTTCTAGATTTCCCCTTCTCCCCTCCTGGATTTTCCTAAAATAATTCTGGTCACCCTAACTAGACAGCTGAGTAGTTATTCAGTGTTTAAAGATGGAGTAGGATTTGGTCCTGTGTGTCTAAAGGTTGAAGTAGATGGATCATGTATGTTGATCAGGATGAGGCAGTGGACATATTCTAACCAGCAACAATTTTCTCTCTGTCCTCCTAACCTCAGAATAAGACCATCTTTGGCTCCTCCATGCTTGCAGAGCTTTCTGTACTTAAAATGGCAGTTGCTGGGTGAGAGGAAACTGTGAATTAGGGGGCAGTTAGACAGAAAGGGGAATAATGCTGTTTAACATCAGGCAGCCTAAATAATGGAAGTGTAATGTGCCACTTAGGCTATAGACTTGGATACATGGTCTGAGATCGTTACTGAATTGTGAGATGTAATCTCATCTGCATGTGCAGGGAATGTTTTCTGCTATTATATTACACTCCTTATTTATCAAATTAAAAATTCTTCCCTGTATTCTCATACATAATATCAATTTTGCAACAGGTATGTACTGGCATGATGTGGGTGGCCTTTAAGCGCATATGGATTTCCACAGAAATCAAATGCCAGCCTGAGGAAATGCTTATCTTAGGTTGTTCACTTGTTCAGGGGCTGGAAATTACATGGAATCCTTATCTGATATTTTCCAAGCAGGCAGCTTTTACTGTATTCCCAGGACAGCAAGATAAAGCCGACTTAGAAGAGAACTGCCAAATGTGATTGTTCAGACCCTCAGGCACACAAGCATGTTCTACATCCCACCTCTTTGTTCTAGGGTGGCCCCGCCTCACCTTCCTCTCCCATTAACTCCTCAGCCTTTCTGTCTTTGGCACAAGAAGCCTGAGCTATTCTCAGTGCAGTCCCACATTAGATTGGAAGGGGGCACTATGTCTCCTTTTGTCATCTTTTTCTTGTGTATGTAACAGGGGGAACAGGAGCAGGACTGATGTCTCACCTAGGAGAGAGCCTCCACACACTCAGTCCCATCCCATAATTATATAGTGTCCAGTGTACCAAAGGGTACTTGAGCAATTTGAATGTATTGCTCAGTATAATAAATAAATAGATAAACAAATACACAAACAAACAAATAAATATTGAGCAGCAGAACATATTGTTCAGTATGCTGAGCCGCAGAATATGTTGCTCCTTTTTTTCTGGGATAAAGCTATTTCTTCTAAATCTCCTTGAGGAAAATAGAAGCTTAATCAAAGAAAAAGTTTAGAAAGGAACTAGATGCCTTGATTAAATAAATTATCCCTAGTTACATCTAAAATTAAGTCCAGCGTGTGTGGGATCATTCATATAATTAAAGCTAACCCAGTAAACCTCTGATTCTTTTGCAGAAAGGAGGGTAAAAATCCTTACTCAAGTTTTTGTTTAGACAATGCTCAAAAGCTTCAATTTAAACTTAAAGAAGGGGAATCACCTTATTCAAAACAAGGTTGTCTCAGCTAGTACAAAGCCAAAACCAAGATAAAAGATGCAGAATTCCTAAAAAACAGTTCCTCTTCCTTCTTGACACCCATGTGACATCACCTCAGCTCCAGGTCAAATGCATCTAGCCAAGATGAAAGTGTGGTGCTTCACATTACAATATTTCTGTACTACTTCCAATAGCAGTTACAAGATTGTTAGACAACTGTTACAGACTTCCCCAAACACTGTAAACATATATAGACAGAGTGTGAAGAAATGGCACAATTCATGCAATAAGAGTGTAACTTTGCACAACTACCAAACAAGGTAAGTTTACCATCAAGTCAAAATTCCTCATAACAGTGGTTGAGCAACCCAGTGTGATACCAGTGGTTGAATATTTAATCTCAAGTTAGTGCCTACACTAAATGCCTAAAGTTAATGCAAATATACATGCAAACCAATGCTATTCAAGCCTGAATTAGTTTGCATCCAAATATGTTACTATGAAGTCAGTAGGACATCTCCAGTTGAGTTCTAGGGAGAATGACCTCGCCCCATATAGGCAACTGTGTAAGTAAACAGGAATTTAAGGTACATAGTTAAGGCACTTTTATATTTCTGCCAATCTGGAAGGGCTGATAATATAAAGCAGATCAGCCTTCAGGCTACAATACTTTGTGCTGGATGCCAATGGTCCTTAAAGGATATTTTAGTAGGTAGAATAGCTAGGATGTAGGGGCAAACCAGCTGTCAACTTGACCCCAGGACACCCCATACACTAGGGATGAGAGAAAAAATGGGGTAACAGTATCTATAGCTACCTATGTCACCCAAGGATTCCCTCACACATGGGGAAATGGATCCAGAATCTGGCTTCTATTCAACTTAGAAATGATAAAGTTGGAATACAAACATAACCAGATGTAAAATGTACAGAAAGAAGGAATTCCATCAGCTGCCTTTAGTGACTCTTAGAATTCATTTGGCCTGTTATCTTTAGAAAAACTAAAGCTGTCCTGAAAAGCTATTTCTCCCACCACTACAGTGGTAAGTGATTTGGGAGTAAGCTACCTGAGAGAGACAGAGCCTGGTTTGGTACTTTCATTGTAGAGATCAAAAGAAAACCTTGAGCTAAAATATTTTTCAGTTAAATGTCTAGTATTTCAGTTAAATGTTGTCAGCATTCTCTATGAGGCCCCTGCTCTCTGAATCTCATTGGTCTTGTGGAATATGCTAACCTGCACATATCATAAATCCCACCTTTTTTATTTTGAGCAGTTGACTTCAGGGTTAGGGATTTTTTGAGGAGTTGGAAATTGGACCTATCTGGTTCGATGAGGAGGGTGGGGCAGTTTGGTCACTTTATAATTTGCTCTTGCTATGCATGGTTTCCAAATAATGTAAAACATGCCCAAAACAATTTGGAACGTAGAGACATGGAACAAAGCACCCAGAGCAATTTGAAATATAAATATATTTGCATAGTTGTGTACTTATTCACCCATATGCTAGTTGCAAAGTAAGATTAGGTTGGATTGGGTTGTCTACATTCCTGGTATAACTACACTAAAGTCAGTGGAATTGTATTGCATTATACTCTGCTTAAATTAGTGTTATGTATGATATTTTAAAACAATATAATGTAATCAAAATAATCTAAAATTCTAAGTCATCATATATAGCTTGTTTGAGCCTGTTTATATATTAGAAAATACAGATCTGAGTTTGCAGAGTGATGGGCACTTTCAAATCCTGTTGAATCAATGGAATTTGATGGCATTCTGTACTTCACAAGATGACCTTAGCATCATGTAAAATTGGGTCCTATGTGAAGAAAGTTTTCATTTGTTATTACACTATAGTATAGGTTTGGAGCAGGTATCATTCTGAAATAGGAAAGAAACATTTCTAACGTGAAAGATTTGAAATTCAGGATAAAAAACGATCCACTCTGATTATTTTGTGATGATGATAATATCAAAATCAGTGACAGCAATGGTAGTGTGGTGTGAGGAAGGAAATGATTTAAACCTTCAAGTTAAATTTCTACAGGTTGTCATTTTTCCATGCTAGAATTAAAAGAGACTGTTTTACAGCAGAATTTGAATATCTGAACATTTTTTTAGTTATTCTGTCTCAATAATTATCTAGAATAAATATAAACTATATTGTTCATTGTGGCATCTGAGAATACACTGTTATGGAGCCAAGACAAAGAGGTCTTTAAGGATTTTAGTAATAAAATATAACACCATAATGTAGCCAAATAGTATGACTGAAGTGGTGTGTTGTTATTAAAACCAGATACACAATACCACATGTAGGGTGAAAAATTATTGCTTCTGTCTCACATGATTTCACATATCTTCTTCATTCTAAAAACAGAATCTAAGCCTCCTGCATGGTTTCTTCTTTCTAGTACCCAGAGTTGATGGTTGCTTCTTATAATAATAATGAAGATGCTCCACATGAGCCTGATGGGGTGGCCTTGGTCTGGAACATGAAGTTTAAGAAGACCACACCAGAATATGTTTTCCACTGCCAGGTAAGATACAGTAAGCCATCCATTTCATGCTAGACAAGACAGAGTTTACTATGCAGTGGATCTTCCCACTGTTTAGATAAAGAGACTAAGGTTAAAAATAGGCAATTTTGGAAAAAGTGCAGGCAGAGACTAATGTTTTTAGAAGGCATCAATCCTCCTAAAACAATAAGGCATCCCTGCCGGGGACTGTGTGTCATTCTCTGTCTATTTAAAACAATCCCTAAGAGAATTAACTTATAAAGACCTTGCACTTATGAAGTAACTGTGGCATGCCACTTCCTCATCCAGGCAGCAACATATGCTTTCCCACCCACATTCACTTCCTCACAACCCCTGTATTCCAAGCTGTCTACTCTTGCTTCAGTGTTGTCCAATGTGATTTTTCAGCTTTGAAATTAATAACTGCACAGTGCATTTCTGAATGTTTGCCTTGATAGCTTGGTAAAAAATGATCCAAACAATCTGAGGAGATTTCTCTATCGATTTGACTATCCTGCAGGCTACCAAGCTACCATTTAACTTCACTCAGTTCTACTGTATGAACAAGTTATGCTAGGAGTCTATCAATAATGCAAAAATAATTGGGTGCTTCATTTCCTTTTGTCTATTTATATTTCTTGCCCCATTGTTTTTCTTTCTGGCATGACAGTCTGAAATCATCAGAATTTTCTGTTCATATGCTTTACTTCCATCACTTTGCTCAGATAGCAGAATGTGGCTCAGGCCAGCACTTCAGTGCCCTTATTAATATCTTTCTATTGTAATTAAATGCAGAATAGTGGCATGCAAAAATCACGTGGAAAAGTTTCAGTTAGAAAAAACTTTCTCATCAGAGATTGTAGAGCTGAATGCAGATTATTCTGTGGTAAAACTTGCTTCTTTTGGAAGGATATGTATTACCTGGCTAGCTGTGCAAGCTGAGTGTCATTTTACATTTAGGGACCAAACATCTTTTTGAACTAAATTTTTTGTTTGGACTTGGGTACATTATCAGATGTAACATAGTGGGAGGGAGTTCAAACTGGAGTTACTGCATCAACCTGATTAAGTAACCTTTAATTCTGGGCATGTTTTTCTAATTTGCTATTCCAAAAAACAACTTCACAAGAACCCTGGGTCTGCACAGTAAATATCCTGCACATATTTTTACCTTTGGAATAAAAACATTTTATTTTTTCAGGGCCTCATATGTGGTATTCTTTTATATTCCTTCAGTAGCTTATGCCCAGATCATTTTAAAGTATTCATTCAATTTATGTGCTAAACAAAATATTAAAGAGAAGAAAATCCCCATTACAAAATCAAAAGGAATATTTCTTAGCCTGGAACGGCTTTGTAAGTTAATGGCCAAATCCTGGCCAGACTCTGTGTACATTTCAGTACACTCAGCTACAAAGAGAGCAGTATACTCTGTTGGGTAAAGTAAAGCAAGGGGCAAACTGACTCGTAAATGTATGAGCACTGATAGATTCTTCCCTCCATGGGAAATACACATCAAGGACAAGGGTATCCTCAACTTTTGACTGACTGATTTGCCTAATTCTCCTACTGGAGAGTGAGGTAGAGTTCTCATGTGCTGCCACTGTCTGCTATTGCATGCTGCCGCCGCATGCCTCCGCCACCTGAAGACGTGCACCACTGGAAGGTGGCAGTGGGAGGCGGCGGTGGCAGCAATGCACGGTGCGTGGTGGCGGTGGCACGCAGCACCCTCTGCTCATTGACAGGCCACTGGGGGACCCCTGCCTCCCTGCTGGATACTCCCCCTCCCCCCCCACTCATCAACCGGCTGCCAAGGGTTTCTCCCCCCTTGCTATTCTGCCGGCCACTGTCAACCAGCTGCTGGGGGATAACCCTCCCCACTTGTCCAAAGGATACAGTCCAGGAGGGGTACCCACCAGATGAGGTACACTCCTTAAAAAAGGTTGAAAACCCCTTAGACAAATCTAATGCACAGTAAAGTGTTTTGACCCAAGCTGACTTCCTGCCCCTTGGGCAGGGGGCTGGACCCGATGATTTTATGAGGTCCCTTCCAGCCCTAATGTCTGTGAAGTCTTTGAAAGTGTCTTGTGTAGATGCACCTGCCTTTCCCCAGTACGTTTTAAGTTGGAGCCATATTTGAACTGTGGTTGTTGGGAAGTTGATGCATGGAATTCTTCCTGTGTCCCTATATGGCTGAACATAACCTGTGAGATTAAATATGGCAGTGGAAGACATTTTACTTGGTCTATTGAAAACAGGATATGTTTTAGCTGAGCTAACTGATTCAAATGGAAAATAAGAAGGCATTTTATCTTAGCTCAGAGTCTGGAAGTCAGTTCTGTAGATCATCATGTTATTCTATCAGTTAGTGGAAACCGACTGTATTATTATTTAGCCTCATATCATATATATTACAATTTTGAAAGGGAAACATCCCCTGACTCAGTCCTGATTCAGCCATTTCACTAGCTCTTATACCAGCCATGCCTCTAGATCCAGTTAAAATTGTGATTTGTTTTCCTCCACACACAGCTGACATTGTGACTCCTCAGCAAGTAAAGATACACACACACAACTTTTCATTGCAGCTACATTGTCCAAGTATGATACACAGTCTGCCTTAATCAACTTCCCCAAGAACACATTCATACTCTTTTTCAGAGTATTTTAGCATAGATATGTTCTTGACAAACATCTCTTGGCCTTGAGTAACCAATGCCATCTACACAGGCTAGAAACCTGAGCCTCCCACAGATGTCCTCATGCAAACATCAAGAAATTACTTCGTACCTTCCAAATAACTTTCTTGACAATACCTTGTATCATACATTACTTCATTTTGACTTTGAAAACTCAGCCTATGCCAGACAATTATGTACTGGAAGAAATGGGACTGTATCTGCTTGATTTATCCACTCACAATGGCTCTGAGATAGGCCAGAAATGCATCTTTACTCTGCCCACCCATTAGCTGCATGTGCCAGAGTACCACATTAACTGACAAAATGAAGCTTTTCTTTTCCTGCCTGGAAAAGAGACAAGAGCTAATAGTACCTGAGTACAATCTATTGCATTTCCTGGGCCGCATTATGTGAAGTTTCTACATTTGGTATGACACCCATAAAGCTTCTGCTGTTTTATTACTGATATGTAAATGCTGGGAGAGCTGGGTCTGTGGGACCTTAACTTCTTTTGTTCCTTGACCTTCAAAAACTTTTTGTTCTTTAAACTTCAAATTATGTGGTTCTTTTATGTGATATACCTACAAAACAAAACTACATTGACAAAGATTTTTTTAAAGTAGGCAGTGTAGGAAGGGAAAACGGATTTTTTTAAATTACCCTATCTTCCCCTTCAAATGACATCTGTCAGACTTTGAAAATCAGAGTTTATATTGCTCGTTAGTGTCAGTTCTGGTATGCATGAACCCATCTGATTATCTAGAATATTAGACCTTCTGCCTTTTGGCTGGCAGCTTCATAATGAGATTCAAACAGGGAGAAACGGGTATTTCAGACATGAATGTGTTTAAGCTCCAGACCTGGAAATTCTTGCAAACTGCTTCTGATAAAATCATAAAATCCTGAAAATTAGGGTTAGAAGGGACCTCAGGAGGCCATCTAGTCCAACCCCTGCTCAAAGCAGGACAATCCCCAATTATATCCTCCTAGCCCAGGCTATGTTTAGCCAGATCTTAAAAACCTTCTCTTAAACAATATAAAAATGCTGATGAAGACATTTCAAACTAAGCTTTAGAAAATACCTGCTAAGATGCTTTAGCATCTTAGGCAAAAGAGAGGATAGGTGTACACCTCATAAACTAAGTCAGAGGAGCATAAGCTTTGATAAACAGCAGCTGCATTCATCAGATGTTGTGAAGGAACTGTGCTGATGAAGCCACTGCTTATAAAAGCGTATGCATCTCTGATTTAGTCTATAAGGTACAAATTTATCCTATCTTCTGCCTGACTCTAGGCACATGGGGGTACTACACATTCAATTTATGGTGCCATACAAATGTACCACAAAAATATTTCACATATTTTGTGAAATATCTTTGCGGCTGGTTTGCCACTTTATGGCACCATAAAGCATCTGTATGTGTAGCTCTATTAGTATTTATGGTGTCATTAACACATTAATTACACCATAATTGTAATGTGTGCCAGGGGCCTAAAACAGCTAACTACCTCTCTCATACTGCATATTAGTCATTTGGATGAACTTCATTTGAACGGAACCTTCAAAGATGTCATCTCTTGAGTACATTCTGTGAATAGCTGAAATCCCCAGTCAAGAGCTTTAATCTTACTTCTTTTTCTTTTGTAATATATATTAAAGGCTGCATCTACATGTGCAAATGCTCTGGGGTGGGTAAACCCAGCCCAGGTAGGTATCTACATGTGCAGGGAAGCGGGAGCAGATTTGCTGCTCATGGCAGCAGTCTGCTCCTGCCCCTGCCCCTGCCAGCCTTGTACTGGCCCCCTGCAGCAGCCATGGGAAGTTCTAGGCTCCCCCTGGGTGCTAGCCCAGGACCTGGCAGGGAGCACAAGGCCAGGAGACAGCTGTCTCCCAGTGGGGGCTGGGAGATTGCTCCCTGCCTACGGGAGCTGCCTGCTGAGGGGGCGGGCTCTGCCACTGGAATCCAGGTGAGGATAATGTCCCCATGCCACCACAGCAGGGAGCTCCCAGCCCCTGCTCCCAGCCCTCTGCTGTCCAGCTGACCAAGGGCAAATTTCCTCTTAGTTGGCCATGTATATGTGCTGTACTGCACATTAATTACTCCCAAATGAATTTGTTACTTGTATTTACAGGTAGCAAATTTACTCAAGATAAGAGCATATTACTGCACAGTAGGCATCTGCATGTGTAGAAGGTGATGCTCTAATCTTGAGTAAAGCATCTCATGTAGATGCGCCCAAAGAGTACTTTCAGTAAAATCATTCACAAAAATGTTTAAATCATTTTAGTACCTATTATTTTTGTCATCTTTTGTAAAATCTTTGGAATAGCCTTATCTG